GCAAAGGGCGTGGGTAGGGCGGGAGGGAGGCAGATGGGCGTGGGTGTTGGGCGGGAAGCGAGGCAGATGGGCGTGGTGTGGGCGGGAGGGAGGGAGGGGTTAGGTAGATGGGCGTGGTGAGGGCGGGAGGAGGTCAGTGCGAAGCAATGGGCGTGGGTGTGGGGCGGAGGAGGTGGTTAGGCAGATGGGCGTGGGGTGTGGGCGGGAGGGAGGTCAGTGCGAAGCAGTGGCGTGGTGTGGGGCGGGAGGGAGGTGGTTAGGCTATGGCGTGGGTGAGGGCGGGAGGAGGTCATGCGAAGCAGATGGGCGTGGTGTGGGCGGGAGGGAGGTGGTTAGGCAGATGGGCGTGGGTGTGGGCGGGAGGGAGGAGGTGGCGAGGCAGATGGGCGTGGGTGTTGGGCGGGGTGAGCGTGTTGCTGTTTTTGTTGTTGTTGTTTATTTAGTTTCTCAGGCGTGGTTTCTGCGATGTTGCCATGTTCGGTATTTCTGGTTGGAATGTTATGCTAATTCTCCCTCGTTCATCCACTCTATTTCCTTTCTGTACATTTTCCCCCTTTCCATCGTTTTCTCTTCCTTTTCCTCCCCTTCCCTTCCTTCCTCTCCTTCCCCACCCGTTCCTTTCCTTCTTACCATCCTCCCCTCCCTCCCTCCTTCTCCTTCCCTCCTGCTCTTCCCCCCCCTCCTCCTGTCTCCCCACCTCTTCCTGCCTCACCCCTTCTTTCCTTCACAGTATCCTCTTCCACCTCCTTATCTCCTCCTCCCATCTCTTACCCTCTTCCTCTTCCTCCTCCGTCCTCCTTCCCTTACCATCCCATCCCCTTCCCTCCTGCACTCTCCCCCTGCCCTCCTCCTTCCTTCCCCCAGCCCTCTCCTCTATCCCCCTTCCCCTTCCCACATCCCCTTTCCCTCTTATCATCCCTCACCCCTCCTCCTCGTCCTCCTCCTCCCCCCTCCCCTTTCCCTTCCCTCCTCCCGCCCATCCCATCCCCCTTCCTTCTTACCATCCTCCCTCTCCTCCTCCCTTCCTCCCTCTCCATCCCCCTCCATCCCCATCCTCCCCTTCCCCCTCCTCCTCCCCATCCCATCCTCCCTCCCTCTTACCATCCTCCCCTCCCCATCCCCCTCCCCCATTCCTTTCCTCCCTCCAACCCCTTCCTCCTCTACCATCCTCCCCTCCCCTATCCCTTCTCCCCCTTCCCTTTCCTCCCCTCTAACCCCTCCCACAACCCCCACTTCACCCCTTTCGCCCCCTCCCGAGCGCCCTTCCTCCTAGTCAGCCTCCCCCTCCCCCTCCCCTTTCTTACCATCCTCCCTCCCTATCCCCCCTCCCACAACCCCCTCCCCGTTCCCCTCCACCCCTCCACCCCTTCCCACAACCCACCTTCACCCCTTCGCCCCCTTTCGAGCGCCCTTACCTGCGAGTAGAACTGCCTTCCGTCGTATCCGAGGCCGTAGGCGGCGAGCTTCGAGCACCTCCTTCAGCAGGACGAGTTCGATGTTGTTGCTGTGGTTCCTCAGGGCGAGGGACACGTCCTCCAGCACCTCGGGGAGGGGGTCAGTTGTTTGTTTATTTACTTTTTGGGTGTTCTGCTTGAGTCTCTCTTGTCTGTCTGTCCTCTATCTATTTATCTATTTCCTCTCCCCCCCATACTCTCTCTCTCTCGTCTCTCTTCTCTCTCTCTCTCTCTCTCTTCTCTCCTCTCTCTCTCTCTCTCTATCTATCTATCTCTCTCCCTCCTCTCTCCTCTCTATCTATCTCATCTATATCCCTCCCTCCTCTTCTCTCTCCTCTTCTCCTCTCTCATCTTTCCTCCTCTCTCTCTCTCTCTCTCTCCTCTCTCACTCTCTCTCTCTCTCTCTCTCTCTCCTCTCTCTCTATCTCTCCTCTCTCTCTCATCTCTCTCTCGTCATTCATTCACTTATTCATTCACTCAACCCACTCATTAATTAATTAATTTATCTATCCATATATCCTCCCTTCTAACTCCCTCCTCCTTCCTCCTTCTCCCTCCCACACAAGCACACACAGACGCTCCCCGCATCCTACCTGGCACGTATCCTACCTGGTACGTATCCTAATTTGCTACATTATCCTACCTGGCAACGCATCCTTCTTGGTAGATTATCCTACTCTACATTATCGCTACCTGCTACAATATCGATTACCTCTGCTAATGTAAACTTGCTGCTACCTGGCAGTATCCTACTTACTGACGTTCCTACCTTGGCACGTATCCCCTCTTGCTACACACCAACCTGGCACGTATCCTACTTACTTTACATATCTACGGCACATTATCCTCCTTGCTACACAGCAACCTAAGGCTGGCACGTATCCTCCTCTACTATCCTATCCTAGTGCACGTATCCTACCTGCTACGTATCCTACCTGCTACGTATCCTACCTGGCACGTATCCTCCTTGCTACGTATCCTCTTTGCTACGTATCCTACCTGGTACGTATCCTACCTGCTACTCGGTACCTCTTTGCGCTACATATCCTACCTGGTACGTATTCCTGCTACGTTCCTACCTGGCTATCGTATCCACCTGGCAGTATCCTAACCTTAAGTATCCTCCTGCTACGTATCCTCCCTGGCACGTAAATCGCTACTGGCTACGTACCTCCTTGGCACGTATCCTACCTACGTATCCTGGTACGTATCCTGGTACGTATCCTACCTGTATCCTACCTGGCATCCTACCTGGCTATCCTACCTCACGTATCCTGGCTACGTATCCTACCTGGCACGTATCCTACCCGGTACATATCCTACCTGGTACGCATCCTACCTGGCACGTATCCTCCTTGCCACGTATCCTCCTTGCTACGTATCCTACCTGGTACGTATCCGAGCCGCAGAGCTTCTCGTACACCCAGTCGAACTTGAGCACGAACTCCTCCAGGATGCGGCCCCTGAGTTGCAGGACTTGGTAGGGCAGCTCGTCCAGCTTGCGTCGGTTGTGGCGGCTGAACAGTGACTGAACGGAGATCTTGGACATGTTGCTGGCGAGGGAGAGAAAGGGAGAGGAGGTTAAGGAGGAGAGAGAGAGAGGAGGAAGGAAGTGGGGAGAGGAGAGGGGAGAGAAGGTTAAGGGAGGAGAGAGAGGGGGGGGAGGGGAGAGGAAGGAGGTGGGGAGAGGGAAAGGAGGGAGGGAGGGGGGAAAGAGAGAGGAGGGGAAAGGGAGGAGGTGGGGAGAAGAGAGGGGAGGGAAGGGGAAGGGGAGAGAGGGGGGAGGGGAGATGGGGACGAGAGAGAGGGAGGGAAGGAGAAAGGGGGGAAGGGGAAAGGGAGAGGGAGGGGAAAGGGAAAAAGGGGAACAGGAGAGGGGAGAATTGGGGAGAGAAGGAGAGAGACAGGGAGAGGGAGATGGAGAGAGAGGGAGGGAACACTATGATAATCGAATGAAAAGTAAGAGAGAATTCGAAGGAGAGCAACAAGTCATCCTTTTCACCACTAAATAAACAACAACAAAAAACTAAATTCCTCACCACTAAATGAAGAAAAAAGAAAGAAAAAAAAAGCATACGTATCCCCCCAATAGTTCAAACTCGAACGCACACAAACCCCTATAAAAAGCCTGGTTTGTTTACCTCCCGCGGTACTTGGTCGGCTGATCGAGCACGTAGCGGTCCTTCCCCTCCTCGACGCCTGCCTCGTACACGGGACCGGCTTCTTGGCACCGTTGGCCCACTTGCTCTGCGGGGGGGAGGGAGGGGGGCGTTAGTGATGAGTGGGGGGAAGGAAAAGGGGTTTTAGTGATGAGTAGGGGGGGAGGGGGGCGTTAGTGATGAGTTTGGGGGGAAATGAGTTGGTGAGGAGAAGAGGTGGTGGTGTTGAGTTAGCAGAGGGAAAAAAAAAGTTTTAGAGAATTGGTGAGGGGAAAGACATGTTGGTGATGATTTTTAGTCATAAGGGGAAAAAAAGGGTTTTCGTGATAAGTTGGTGAGAGGAAAAAAGTTTTAAGAGATGAGTTGGTGAGGGGAAAGACATGGTGGAGAGAATTTTTATTCATGAGGAAAAAAAAGGTCTAAAGATGAGCTGGTGAGGGGAAAGATGTTGGTGGTGATTTTTAGTCACGAGGGGAAAAAAAAGGATTTTAGTGATGAGTTTGCAGGGAGAAAAGGGAGTTTTTAGTGATGAGTTGGTGAGGAAATGAGTAAGATATGTCGTTTGTGACGAGATGAGGGGAAAAAACACTCGGTAGTGAGTTTGTGAATGTGTTGAAGGGAAAAAACGTTATAGTGATGAGTTAATGAGAAAATAAGGGGCGTTGGTGCTATTTTCGATGGACTTCAAAGGAAAATAAAAGTCTTTAGTTGAATAAAATATTCATAATTAAATAAGTTAAAAAAGTCATATAAGGGTATACCTATAAGAGAAGATTAATTCACGGAGAAATGGAAATTTTCTGGCACGATGATTCAGAGTCTCTATGATTATGTGACTAATAATAAAAAATAAAAAGAAATAATAAAGAATAAGAAAAAAATAAGAATTTATATGAATAGATAATTAATATAGATAGATTAATAGAATATAAATTATGAAATATGAAATTAGTAATAGAAATAATTAATTAAATTAATAATATATATACATTAATATGAATTATTAATATAAATTAAATATAATTAAATTAAATAATACATAGATTTAATAAAAGAAAACAAAAAAAAATAAGAAGAGTAAAAAAAAATCCGCTCTTATTTATTAACCCGACCTTACGCTTCGCAGCACTATAGCTACGCCAGCCTATGTACACGCTACACGCGCACTCATGCTCTGCCTGCTAGCTGACTTAAGCTAGTGCTATCGGGAAGAAAACCACTACACACACTCGACCAGCTCCCCACCCACTCTCTCGCACTCCTCGACACTCATAATCACCTCACAAAGGAAAAAATAACTAGATTACAATATAGTATATACATACATATAGTATAATATTTTTTATATATCGTAATATATGTATATATCTATATACATATCGATATA